AAATTCCAACACTAAAGGTAATTCTAGCTGAACTTAATGTAACTAATAAATGTAATAACAGGCAATAATGGAGGATTAGAAATGGGTACGACTTCATCTCAAGAAATAAACTTTGTTGCAGATGAAATAACTGAAAAAAAAATAAAAATTAAAAATAAACTTCTGATAATTATTCATAATTTGAAAAGAGAGTAGTAACAAATTAGCTTCCACTTATGTATAAAAACTAGTAACAGTGCAACAGTAACATGATCCATATTAAAATCATAAAATATTAATAGCAGATACAGTTTTAAACAAGTAATTTGAGAGGGTATTGAAAAGTTCTCAGTCCAACTAAGAAGGGACTCCAAGAAAAATTCTGATGCTTGATCATTTGACAGATTTGGGAAAGCATCTCCGCATACCCTTCATAAAAATGAGAATGATTAAGATAGAAACTTGTTGCTGAATCATTTTTTGGTATTTATGATTTTTTTTTACTTGTCCTGCTAATTGTAGGTAAAGATAATTCAATAAAATATAAAATTTATATTAAGTTCACATTCCTGGAATATACTGCAAAGAAACATTATTTTTTAATTCCTAGGCAAGTAACACAGTACTACACATTTAAATTTTGCAAATAGAATATTTTAAACTATATTTGGTGTGTATCATTTTCAAACAAGGTAGTAGCAATTCCAGTTTGATCATAAATAATAAGATACTAAGTAACAATGAAGTTTATTTAAAGAGGTAAGCCTTGAAATTTTTTATTCAAATATCTTCTTTGAATCTTTTTTCCAACAGAAAAGTATCTGAAGTAGTAACTACAATGCACATTTATGGAAACTTATATTTACATATAGCAGTATTTTTATTTATTACAAACAGTGGGCTGTTAATGTTAATGCCTCAAAAACAAAACTGCTATCTTTTAATCATCTGAGAGAACCCTTTTTACCTTCCATGAGCATGGTTGATACTAACCTCCTGGAGAGTAACTCATTGTGCCTTCTTAGGCTAACATTTTCAGCTGATATGAAGTGGAAAGGGTATATTGAATGAATTGTTAAGTCTGCAGCTAAAAAAGTTGCTTCACTATGTCATGCTAGACAATTTTTCTTGTACTGGACTGGTAATAAGGTCTCATCAATTTGCAGTTGAAATGACTAGATGCAAGTTCTATGCTAACAGTTCCTTCTATCATAGTTCTCACTTGTGGAACTCTCTTCCAGCTTCTTGCTTTCTAGTTAACTTTGATCTTCAAAAATTTTAATGCAATGTCAATCATCTTTTGTCTTCTTAATTCTTGTTCTTTTATTGTCCTCTCTCCTTAATAGTAGTTTTTCTCATATTATCTAACACCCTTGCATCTTGACTTTATTAATTTGCTTGGAGTGAAATGAAGATGGGACAGTCAATCATACTGATTGACCAATATTGTCTTTGATTTTAAAATAAATATTTCCGCCTAAGAATTAATAACTAGTTAGAGAAAGTAGACATGTTTTCTGCTTAGAGTAGTAGTGTTTACTAAAACTGGTTTTCAGCAGAATGTAATATAAAAAAATTGGTGAACATATTGAAGAATAAGCCAGATTCATTTCTCGAATAAAGCTATTTCGAGCAAACCTCGAAGCACAGAAGTACTAAAACTAATGCCATTATTATTTATTATTATTACAAAAAATAAAAATAAAAAAAGGCCACATAAGGTTAAGGTAAGGAGCTACTGCTATTTTTAATAAGAATATCAGAGCCACAAGTACACATCATCTACACGTCAGAACTCGTACACAGATGAGTAAATTAATAATACGTTATACGGTTATATCCCTCAACCCTGACACATATCGATCGCGCCACCAGGGGGAAAATGAGAAGAGGGTACGAATAGGTTGCTGCTTTTGTTGCTGTTATAATTTGCTTTCATTGTTCAGATTTTGTCCGTAATCCTTGAGAATATATACATTTTTAAAAAAGAAAAAAGAAAGCGACACTTGACACTAAAATTAACAATTCACCATTTTAAAAGGTGGCACGTTCACGTTATATAGCAACTCACGTTAAAAGTCGAGAAGTTGAAAATCAAAGTCAAAATAAAAAACAGGGCAATAACTGTACTGCAAACATTATTTACGCTAAAAAGCCTAACTGAGTGAAAACTTTAAATTCAATAGATCTCTATCCTTGGGTGGCAACTGAATAAAAAAAAAATGTTATTGCTGGATGATAGTAGTTATCGATTACAACGGTAAAATGCTTCTTTAACCTTTTTTTTTTTTAAAGAATAGATGATAAAATAAAGACAGTGGGAGAAAAATTGTAGACAAATAAAGAAGGTAATTAAATTAATGAATTAATCAACGATCATAAATAAAATAATTTTTAACGAGTGCATTAAAAACTAAAAAAATCATTATCTATGTTACATTTTAAATTTTTTTCTAAATTAACTCAAACAAAAACTGTTAGTTAGCGTTTGTTAACACGAAGAGAATATGAAATGAAAAAGAAAATTCTAAAAATTTACAATAAGAAAAAAAAGATCAAACTTGACTATTCGATGCCGACAATAAAGAAATCAATTTAAGTTCACAATAAATGCTAATGAAATAATTTAAAATTGATAATCGACACAGTGACTAAATAATTCACCTGAACAAAAAACTCAGTATTTTAATATGGAGCTAGAAAAAAAGAAAAGAAAAGCATACAAAATACCAAGCAAACTTGTTGCGCTTCGGCTTAAAAAACAAAAAGAACGAGTAAATATTAAAAAAAAAAAAAAAAAAAATGTGGATCTCTACAGGGAATGGTAAAATTAAAAATATATTCTTCAAACAATATTATTTTATTTTTAGAAAGTGAGCAAATTAAATATTCAAAATATATTTTCTCTCCCAAAGCGAATGGGTTACTATGGATATGACACACGCACATACACACACGCATAACGTTTAAAAAATAAAAACGGACAGCATCAGTATTCATTAAACTAACATTACTACAAAATACAAAGTGAAGAGTTTTGTTTATAGATAAAAAAAAAAAAGCACTGAATTCAAAACTTCAAAATGATTGTCCAAACAATTTATTGAGTAGTGAGTGTTGATTTCATTGTTCTTTTCTACTCCTGATTGTTTACTCAACAAAAAAGCACATGCAATAATTTTTTTTATGATATATTAAATTTTCATACATGTTACTCTGATTGAATCAACATTAAAAAAATGTACCAATTTTCTGACGTTCATGAAAATAACAGTTTCAGTAAGAATTATTTGTAATAAAATAATTATTTTAAACCGGTGGCTCAAAGAGAATAATAATATGTTTTTTTGAGTAGTACTTTAACTTAAAACTTCTTCTCTTGCACAAAGATAAAATAATGTTCTGTTAATTTATTTTTTTTAAGAAATAATACTTCAGAAAGTAAATTTTAATGATAGTTCAATGTTACTTTTTTTTACTCAAAGTTTTTATTCTAAGAAAAAAAAAATGTGTCAAATTTTCAAAATACTCCCTTTGAAAGAAAGAAAGCTATGTGATATAATTTCATTTTTCTTCATTGCATCATCACTGGAACAAATTCATTAAATAATTTTAAAAGCATGTTATTGTTAGGATTTTTGAAAATAAAAAGATATCCTATATTTTATAAGAAAAAAGTTATTCTTTCTTTCTCACTAACTTAAAAAAATGAAAAGATTTTTAAAATCAAGTCGTCATTTAGAGTAGTTTCCATGTGCAACAAAATGTTTGTTAATCAATACAATGTTCATTCATTTTATTTTTAAAGAATTGCTGTCAAATTGAGTGATACTTTCAACTTCATTGAACAATAATTTTAATAATTATCTTTACAGGCTGATTTGAAAATATAAGCTAATTATTAGGGATATTTTAAAAAGTTAGTCAAAAAAAGTTAACTGAGGATTTAGCTTTTCCTTTTTAAAAAGCTGGTCATTGTGTTATTTATTTAAAAAGAAAGAAAAAGGAAATATGAAATAAAAATAAACAAATCATAAGATTAGGTTCGTACAGTCATGCACAGAGTGATCATTAACGTTCGATATTTGTTTACTTTTTAAAAATCAATCAACGTTACATATGCCATATTCTGGTAGTTTCAGGAAAATGTCAGGGTTTTAAAATCAAAATTAAAAAAGCGACCAGTAAATAAATTGATTTATGTAATTGATTATTTTTAAAACTTAGAAGGCCACATTTTATGGTCAGTACGTTTTAAAAACATGGAAAAAAATTAATAGGAAATATAAAATAATCAAATAAGGCATTTTATGCAATATGAAAATGAATTTTTCAGTAAGAATTTATCAATTCGAGCCATCATGGAAGTATTGACTGGACAGGCTTCAAGTCATAATTTAAATAAAAACAAGTCTTATTACGAATTTTAAAATTACAAATCAAGTTTGTTTTAGACAAATAAATTATTTAACATAAAAAGCTCTAATAAAAAGTCAAAACTTGTAATTAAATTACAGGTGGATTTGATTTGACACTCACTCATTTCATTAGCAACAGTGACGAGAAGCGGTTGCTAGTGACAATCAAATCATTGGAAAGGGGGATCAGTTTATAATAAATATGTACTAGAAATTGATACCCCATTTTGTGATCACACAATGTGTACGTAACAAAATACGATTCATTCATTACAAACTTATAAATAAAGGAAATTAAGTTGTTTATAAAACATGATCAGTGGATGACACTTTATTGATCTGGATACTTTATGACATAAATCTTTGTGATAAAGAAAAAGGCATTAAAAGTAGTGCGTAAAAAAATGACCCCACTAATGAAAAGGACATCGGGAGGGTGAAACTGAAAACAAATATAGAACAATTCAAATATATGGCTACAAAAAAAGAATTAGAATAAGCGTTTTTTGTTTTGTTTCATTTGTCTCGTCCTTTCGCTTAAATAAAAAACGACTTAAAAAAACAAAAAGCAGTTGACTTGAGTTTGAGGATTTCTTATCTTACCGTTTCAAATATCTTGCTTCCTCTGTTTGCATCTTGAGACATGATAAGTGGCAATTTACAGTTAATATGGAGTAGAAAAACGAGTGAGGATGCTCGGTTGTTTTTCTCTAAAATTTCCAGCCCTAAAGATGTCTATTCTAAATTTATAAAGCGCAGCCGCGCCTCTGTTATCTGCAAAATGAGACGATCGGCGTCAGGCCATGTCTCTATTTGCAGACAACTTAACAGTGGAACTCTTCAAGGTTTTTTTTATTTTATTTATTTCTTCCTTTTTCTTGTTTTTCATTAACGGGAGGATATTCGGTAATCTTCGGGTTTTTCCGTAAACCTAGTTTATAATGTAGGTTCAAATCTTATCGGAATAAATCGGAATTTTCCGTTAAACGTTAGCGTCACAAGTGTCATTGCTTGATGGCCCAGTGCAACCAGTGAAAATTCATTTGTCCTGCGTGTAAACAAATAAGCACATTGATTATTTATATATGATTTCATTTAAAAATGAAATTACCTCTAAAAACCTACTGATACATAATTAAAAAAGATTTACCTCAATTGAAAGAGTTCTCACCAGCAGTTACCATAAAAGAAGAAAATTGTCATTTGAAGTATTTGAAATTAATCATGCCAAAAATGAATTACTATGAAATATTTGATATATATATATATATATATATATATATATATATATATATATATATATATATATATATATAGTGTATACAGATCAACTAATAAATCAATTATTTCCTACTACTCCAAATATTATTTTATGGCTACCCATGTTGGAGTAGGTGCCCTGTTTTGTTTTGTTTTTAAATATAATCAATTACATCTACCAGCCTGCTGTGTACTTTAGAAAACTTAATAAAATGTGCTTTCTGGCAGTGTTTGTACCTGCATCTCTCTTCATAGGGAAATCAATTTTTGATACAGCATGCTTTAAACTGCTCAGCCACAGAGGGCATCACAAACCAGCAAGGTTCAGTTATCCTTTTGAAGAATGAACATAATATCAGGTAAAAAATTCATTGACTACTGTGAAATTGGTTTGTGTAAATTCCAGATACAAAATAAAAGCGAGCAGATATGAACTTTTAAGATGATTTGACCAATAGTGTATACTATCGTCAAAAGGGGATTGGACTATGGTATATAGAGATGAAGGTTGGGCTAATACATAAGTAAAGGCCAAATTTATTGTCTATAGTACCATGTGGTGGACTTCACCACATTAATTCAACTTTGATAAGAAAACAGGACTCATGCAAGAAGAATAACCACAAGACATTGTTGCACATAAAATATATGTATATTAACAAGATGTACAATATCAAACAGCAATGTGAAAGAAAACATGCATTTAAGTAAGAAAGGTTGAATTAATCAAGAGTAGCCTCTCTTTGACTGCAATTTAAGAGTTCAGTAAGAGATAATTATTTGGTTTAAAGTTCACTGGATAAATGTTCATGAGAGTTTCATGATTGTTCTTGTAATATTACTGTTGAAAAGTAATGTGTCAAAAGAAGTTTCTTAGTGAAGGTGTACAAATTATCATCAGCTTGTGGGTGTGTGTGTGAGTGAGAAGGTTGGCGTGTGGTTAGAACTGGAGTTCCAACTGTCATAGATTCATTTAGTAGTTGAGGTTTCACTATTTGAGATGAGAAAAATCCTGGATTAAATAAGTGATTATAGGCTCCGATTTGTTGCGCAGGAAAAATTATTCTACATGTGCAAACGATCTGATTGGTTGGTATCAATCAATCAGCGAGCAAGCTTTGAGGAGACTTAAAGAAGCTTCTGTGAGCCACTTCTCCCAAAAGTGCACAAATTTGACTACTTAAAAAATAAAGTGATTCCAAAATTGTCGCATTACTGCAATTTGTAAATTGCCTGTAGAAAATGTATTAGTGATTTATTAGCCAATCATCATTTGGCATTGTACATGTGATTTTGTGTTTGTATGTATTTTTTTCTTATAAAGGGGATACAGGTTTGAATCCTGCTGGAGAGCACATTTTATTTAAGTATATCAAATGTGCAGGTAGGAGACATAATTTGCCATGATTAAACCAACAGGACATATACTCAAACATGGGTATGCACAAAATAAAGTTTGGTGTAGTATATATGTGTGTGGGTGTGTGTATGTATGTGTAGTGATCATGTGATCACAAGAAATAAAAAAAAACTAATTTCCCATGATTTCCTAGTAAAAAAGAAAAATGCCCTACTGGCGAAAAATTTAGAATTTCATTCAACAACCTTTCACCATGAGAGCATGTGAAAATGAACCTCAACAGGAATGAAGACTAAAGATAAGTTTTATTCAAATATTACTTCCTTATATTGAATATGACTTTTAATAATAGATTTATCACAACAAAATAATTCACTCATTCAACAAGACAGCATAAATATCAGAACATTTAACAACCACATTACGTGAACTTTTATCTACTAAAACAACCAAATCTTCCAATAATAAATCTGTTGGGGATGTGCAGAATAAACTAAGGAATTTGTGTAGGATTGAGTTGAATCAGAAGGAAATTTATGTCAGGTTGCGTGAACTTTTCTGCATCCACAAACAAATAAACAATTTCAATATAAACAAGACAAAACATACATGCAATTCAACACCAATAAAAGCATTTATATACAAAGAGGATAATATGTACAGGATATTTTAAGATTGTTAATGTGTTGGTGTGCTCGTGATATTTGTAGTTTTTGTATGTCCTTTTTTATGTCTTGTGTATCAATGTTACAGTCTTTTTAGGAAATTGTAATTAATATTTAGAATGTAGGTATTGTGTTTTAGAAATGAGTCATTACAAAGTAGTCTACCTTTGACTGCAAAATGTCGAGTTCGTTCGATGATGTTATTTACTTAGAATAGTAGTGAGTGTCAATTCACTTTAGATAAGTAAAGTTGTTCAGATAGAAGTTTCGTGTGTTCACAGAGTGTTCTTCGATTTGAGCTTGCGAGTGAGTCAGTGATGATTTAGTTTGTGTGTTAATTTGCGTGGCAAGATTGCAGTTGCAAATGACGTGGATTATATTAGCATATCTCTGTGCTCATTCGACTGATTGACTTGGTCAATTGATATTTTTTCCTTTTATAGGTTTTTAGATGTCCAAGTTGGCTCAGATAAGTTTTGGCGCAATTTTATTTCCGCATGGAAAGCTTTCGAATTTTGTGTTGTGAGCCAGTGAGAATCGCTGATTCACATAGTAATGTTTCTATTGGTTAAGGTTTATGTATGTAGGCATATAGAATAGAATGTTCTTGTTGCTAGGAGTGCTAAGGTAAATGGACGAGTCTACAAATCCTTCTATATTTATGTATAAATGTCTCACTTTGTTGTTATGACATATATCTGGATATTTTACTAACCACAAAAACAGGTGTCATACAAAGCCCATCATAACATATATATATTATATTATAATAGCAATAACAAAGATAATGTAAAGCCAGAAATGGTGTCAGTCAGTGGAAATCTGAAAGAAAAGATTTAAGGCAAGCAGTCTTAGCAGTAAAGTGCTCAATATTAGAAATAGAGCATTTATAGGATTAATACAAATATAAAATTTGTCACTTAGCTGATTGATGGTTTTGAATATAGCATCAATCAGCTAAATGACAAATTTTATCCTATTAATCATATATATATATATATATATATATATATATATATATATATGATAATTTTAAGTCATATGACAAAACAAAATAGAATTAATAGATAATCATTCAAAGAACATACCAAATAATATTTTATTTTTTATTTATAAAAACTAATTGTTATTCCTATATATAGGACCTTTGACAATCCTAGATTCAAACTATGTATTTATTGAGTCAAACCTTATTCAAAAAACTTAAATGTGAGCTTAGAGTTTTGATGGTGTTGGAGATGATTTCACAAAAGATTTTAAGTACCCACATTTGGGGGAAATGTATTTATTTATTTTTTACTGAAATTTTATTTAAGCAATAAATGCAGGCATAACACCAAGTACTTAAAGTTAATAAATGTTGTTGAGATGTTAGTCTGCCATATGTAAATCACTATTATTTTAAACCTTGATTTAGCCATGTCTGGATAAAAGTTGTAAGAAAAATGTTATGGAAAAAGATTCCATAACATTTTTCTTACAACTTTTATCCAGGTTGTGGCATAGTGCTGGAGGGTCCTTAGTATTTATTTATCAGAACTTCAGAAATAAAGCAAACAATTTCAGCTCGGTAGTTGATAGTCTAGAAATCAAATTTTGGTAGTAGTTGTCATCTTAGAAATTGGTGTAGCATCAATTTAATGTCTTTTCTCAGCTCTAAGAAGGGTGAAAAATGTCTTAATCAGATGACGGTTTAACTTCTTCATGGGACTTCTTCTGTCCTTTGACTGTTTAGATCCTTTTTTAAAAAGGCTTCCAGACTACTGGCACAAAGCTTGGTTTCAGCTAACATCAAAAGTCTCTTTGTGTTAATTTTTTTGATTGGCAAAAATCATTTTATTTTCCAGCATTCCTTTCTTTTTCATTTTTTTATATAATTATGTGTGGCGCCTCTCTTATTTTGGTAGATTTCCAGTCACAATGACTAAATTCTGGTTCAGTAAATGTCTGCTGTTTTTCGTTCCAGTTCAGTCTTTTGTTCTTCTTCCTTTTTATATTTGAGGACTGCCTTCTCATTAGTTGAGAAAGAAGTATAGAGAGAGAGAGAGAGAGAGTAAGATATATGGGTTTTAATAGAAAGAAAATACCTTATTTTAATTTGAATTCTTTTACTTTTTGTTTATATATTTTATTTTCATATTTTACTTGATTTTACATTTGGGTTCACCAAAAGGGTTTTAGCGAAAAAATTTCAGCTAGGTCTTTATACAGATAAGCAATAAGATAAAGATTCAGTTTGATTAACTTGATGGACACAAAGTAAGAGTGTCAGGATAAACTAAAATTAAGATACTGCTACTGAAAGCTACTGTCATCCGCCTCTTACTTTGATACTGCGTGAACTATCATT